CCCCCCGGACCATCACCTCCCCCCGGACCATCACCCTCCCCCTGGAGCATCACCATCCCCCGGACCATCACCTCCCCCTGGAGCATCACCACCCCCTGGGCAGGTGACTCCAGTGATCTCTCCGTGGCAGCTCTGGAGTGGGTGGAGATGCAGAGCTTCTCCTCGAACCCTCACCTTGATGGTATCTGGTCAGGGAAGGGCCGGGTTCCAGGGAGAGAGTCTGCCGGGCGGGTCTGGCGAAGGTTGGCTGCCCTCTGCTGTGAGAGGAAAGGCTGGGGACTCTGTTGGCACTGGCCCTGAATGTATTGGTAGGCATCGGGACGTGTCCAGGGGTGGTCTCACATTGTCCCTGAAGAAAAATTGCCGTTCTGGGCTTTACACAAGGCACTGAGCACCACGGAACAAACGTCCCTCGTCCCGGGCAGGGGTGGTGTGAATGGGTGCATTGATACTCGGTGAGCACGCGCTGCCTCTGGCTGTCCGGGAACCCCACCTCGGAGCCTCGCCTTCACCCTGGCTGAGTGCTGGGCTTGTCAGAAGGCACCATCAGTGGCTTGTGTGTTCCTTGAACGGCACCCTCTGTGAGAGGATCTGTGTTTTTAGAAAGGACTGCAGGTCTTTATGTAACTGCCAACAGGCTCCGGGTAACAACTATGTCCCCCATCAACAGTAAACAAAAACAATGATCCATCTCCAGAAATTCCAGTGACGTCCTGTACTGCTTTCTCCTCTGCCCCCCACCCCCTACCCCTGCAAGCCCTGATTCAGCCCCGGCCGCCTTCTCTGTCGTGATAGCGAATGCAGGAATCCGATCACTCGTAAATGTTTATCCCCGAGCACTCGCTGGAAAGCTGTGTCCTGTCCTGTAGGCGCCTCAGGTGAGCTGCTGGCTCCCACTCTCCCTGGCCCGGATGAAGTCAGCCCCTCCGACCACAGAAACTCACCCTGCAGGACCCTGTGGGGGGAGCCGGTGCAGGTGTGCCCGCCCATCACCACATGCACCTGCTTCCCCCTCCCGCCAGCCCTCCGCAGCCTGTCCGTAACCACTACGCTGTCAGAATAGCATCGCTGCTTTTCTTTCCCTCCTCTGTGGCCAGTTCTCCATCAGGAAGCTTCCGTGACTTCCTGGGGTCTCCAGGGCCAAGGTCGTGGTCTCCAGGGCCAAGGCCAACCCTATTGCCACCTGTGCTGCCTTCTCTCTTCTCACTTGGCCAGTCCCCAGTGCTCAGGTAGCCCCTGTGCCCTGCTCTGTCTGGCGACTCTTCTTCGTCCTCCAGAACCTTCTGGCAGGTCCCCTACTCTGGGTGGCTTTCCGGGCCTCCCCCAGGCACCTGGTCAGGCTGGACTCTCAGTGTTATAGTGCGGGGCTCCCGAGCCGGCCCGGCCTCAGGGTCCTCGGGCACAGGGCCACCACGCCAGTGTGGGAGCGAAGGCCGCGCTCTGCAGTAATGCCTCACTGCTGTGCCCATTTCAGCTTTTCTTTTAAACCCTCCGTGAAATAGTCTCTTCGGGCCGTGAGTGGAAAGTCAGGTCATAGGCATTGAATAAGGGCATGCCAGGTGCTGAGCCCCCTTTTTATTCTGGGTCTGTCTTGAAGCTTGGTCAGAACACACTCTCCTAGGAAATTCCTGGACCCCTCTTCCTGAAGCTCGCCTGACCTGAGGTCCCGTGTCCTTAGCGAGGAGTGTGTGTCAGGTGGGGGGGTGTGGGGCAGGCGCAGGAGGAAGGCAGCCTTCGCTCCAGTCTGATCCCGAGAACACGCCCCTCCCCCACTCACCGAGCGCCCGGGGCCGCTCTGCACCAGGTGGGGGGCCCTCACGGGACGAGCCGAGGGCGCCAGTCAGATTTCACAGCCAGCTGGCTTTGGCCATGTCTGTCTGTCTGTCTGTCTGCATCTCCAGGAGACACCCATCAGACCTGGAATCTTGGGTCATTAATTCGAAAGTCTAGCCGGCAAGCTCAGGTTATGGTCTCAGATCTGTCCGAAAGCTCCGCCCGCCCTGCCCCCCACCGCCTGTCCTCTCTGACCCCCTCCCCCCATACGCGAGTCCCATTTTCTCTGTTCTCACCCTAGGTGACACTGGTCTTCTGGACCCAAAGGATTTTCATATTCTCTCATCTCAGTGATTTTCTCCTGATCGCGCTTCCTCTTTGAAGCAGGGCTGCTCCCGCGGGTGGGCTTTGCTTGTACCCCGCACACGTGGCCCCCGGCTCGCCTGGTGGGCACAGGGCCGTCTCTGGCCTGGGAACTGGTCTCTGCGTCCAGCTCTGCGACGCCTTCTCTCCAGAGCTTTCCGCTGAGGAGTGTGGTGTTCGGTGGTTGAGAAGGAAAGCAGTCCTCACTGGGGCTTCTGGCGGCAGGTCACCGTGAGCCGGGACCGGGCTGCCGAGGCCCCAGGCCGCAGAGACCGAGTCTGTGAGCCCCTGCTCCTTGTTCAAGCACCTTACACGGATTGTCGTGTTTAGTCTCTGCACAAACCAGCACAGACAGTGCTCTTTGCCCTGCGTCCCGGAGTTTACACTGACACCAGACGTCCCCGCGGACGGCTGAGTGTGGATGCAAACCTGGGTGTGTTCGCTGCACGGCGTGTGGAGCCTGCGGGAAGGGGAGAGGCGGACGGGCTAGGTCACCCCCCCACCCCCGCTCCTCGCTGCAGCACCCCCTCCGGGTCCCTCTCATTAGTGAAGGCCACTCTCCTGAGCCAGAAGCCGTATTCCCAGCTGTCCTTGAACGGTGCGGCCAGGGAACCAGGGACCTGGGACCGGCTTACACGGGCCGCGATGTGGCGGGGTACCGTTCGCCTGCCCTCGGGTTGCCCTGTGTCCTGACGGGAGCGGCTGGCTGTGGCGTGTCCGCCCGTTTCCGGGGAAGCACATGGGGTGTTCTCTGACACTGGCTCCTGGCTGTGCGTTCCTGCCTGTGGGCTGGCGGGGGTCATCCCGCCGCTAGCCACGTCGCCGCCTCCAGGGCCCCCGAGATGCCGCTGTGTCCCTTCCAGACAAACAGGCCCTGGAGCGGCGCTCTGTCCGCCTGTCTGTCCGCCAGCTCGGTGACACGGGCTGAGCGCGTTAGGCACACGCCTTACGTGCAGAAATGGCAACGTGTTACCTTATTTAGGACCGTCGTTTGCTGGGGATCCAAGGAGGACTTTAGGGGAGCATCGGGGGTGGGGGGCAGGCCGGGAGCGCTCCCCTGACCCCCTCGCCCCAAGGCGGGGCCACAGGAGGCGCTGAGTGCTGCTTTCCCGGGTGTCCAGCGTCGCAGCTGGGGCTCTGCCTCTAACGGGACCAGCCGTCGTCTGGGCACATGGACGTATGTCCTCTTTCCTGAACCCCGGGGCCGGCAGTGTGGACCCCACAGATCCCGTTTGTCCTCCTCATTGTGATCGGCAGGCCGGCCAGGTGCTAGAACAAACTTCAGCGACCCCTTTGTGCCCGGGGAAGAGAGGGTGCGGACAGCAGGCCCGGCTCCGTGCCCCGCACAGCGATGAGATGGGCGTCGGTGTGCACGGAATCCAGGGGGAGCCCTCCTCCTGGGCCAGGAAGAATGTCCTGGGTCTGTCTTTACCGGAATGGCCTCTGGAAGAAAGCAGGTTGCCGCTTCCCACAAAATCCCTGTTCAACCTACGTTTCGCTTGCTCAAGGGAATTTTTTATCCTTCCCCGTCTGTCAGGAAGAAGCACATTGCCAAGGTGACCCCGCAGTGCAGCATGGTTGCGTGAGGAGAGCCTCAGCGAGCGCCGGGATACCTGGAGGAGGAGATATGACGCGTTAGCGGCCCCCCAGGCAGAGACTTCAAGATGGCAGCCCAGCGGATCCGAGCGGCCAACTCCGGCGGCCTCCCCCGGTGCAAGTCTGAGGGGACCCTGATCGACCTGACCGAAGGGTTTTCCGAAACGAGCTTTAATGATGTCAAAGGTGAGCTCCTGGGGACAGAACTGTGGCTGAGGAGGCAGATCTGCAAGTGCTCTGAGACCCAAGGGCTTCCGGCCTTAAAGGCTGTCAGGTCCCCCGTCAGATGTGAAGTCTTAGCCTTCTTCAGCTTCACATTCAGCCCTGGGACACTAACCACTTGTTTTGTTTGGGTTTGGGTTTTGGGGTGTTGCGAGGTTATGAATTCCCACTTGGTAATGGGACTTCTTCATACAGAATATGGTTGTGTTTTCTCCTTTCGTTGAGTTTTGGTGACATTAAGGTAGGGAGCTGGGTCACACAGGAACGATTTTAACCCTTGCAGGCCCTCGGGGTTCCGTCGCAGCTCTTCCGCTGTGCCGCTGCCGCCCGAGAGCGGGCGGAGGAGAGAGTAAGCAATGGGCGTGGCTGTGTTCCAGTAAAACTTTATTTACAAAAACAGCAAACGGGCCGTTGTTTGCTGACTCCTGGTTTAGAGGTGACCCCAGGGTGAATCACCCTAAACTTCTGGGTTCCTCTAACAGCCACAGACAACTGGGTCGATGAGATGGATGCCAGTGGGTCATTTTCTTCCTAGAAGTCCACTTTGACCTTACTAGGCGCTTCCTGGTGCCATGGGATGCATCCTCATCAGCCATCATTGGTGGCTTCCCCAGGGCATTTACCACAGCGTGCTGAAGTTACCCACAGCGCCGTCCAGAATGCAAGTTGAGCAGTGGGAGCTGGTCTTTACCTTTGTGTCTTCAGCTTGGCACAAAGTCAGTGCTAAATAAATAGTTCTTGAACCAAACTACTATCTCCCAGGTAACACTGTGGCCCTCTTTCCTGATGTCCTAAAAACCATATGGACCCTCTTCGTCTCTTCCTAATCCCTTCTCCCTTCACTGTATCCACAGTTTCTTCCTGTCCGTGCTTTAGGCTGGGAGCCTTGGGCACTGCTTTCAGTGTTCCTCAAATGAACAGAGTGGCAAAAGAAATCATGAGATTTTATTAACAACAGTAGCTGAGTTACCAGGTATTTTTATAAATAATGGACCCATTTTATAAATAATGGACCATTAATGCCCAGCAATGGGCATTGTGTTCTTACTTTATAGCCCAGCTGATCATGGTTAAAGTTGGAAAATGGGAGCATAAACTGTGGGGTTTGGGCTGAGTTCTCAAAAGAAGGGAGCTGAATTTCTTAAAATTAAAATGATAATGATCTGAGAGGCATTAGGGTCTTAAAGGAACACCGCAATTGTGGGAAAAAGATAAATGAGACATCAGGGGATGTGAGGTAGGGCCGGTCAGCTGGGCGGGAGCCCCTGAACCCATCTCCCAAGGGCAGCGGGTGGCCTCCCCAACATCCCCAGGGTAGACAGGCTGCAAGGTGGGAATGCATCTCAGCCAAAGTGTCCGTTGTGAAATCCTCTGCCCTCTGATCAACGTTCTGCCTGCACAGGAACTGAGGCGGAGGGGTAAGAAATGGCTTATTCAGTGCTCTGAACCTCCTGACACTCAGGGACTTTTTTTTTTTTTTTTTTTTTTGGTATTAAAATCGAGGATAGCTGTGAATCTAAGCAGCGTTTCCAGAATTCATTAAGATGGGATTCGATAGGGATTCTCCTGCATTTGATTGGATAGGCGCCCCCCCGGGTGTCCCCAGGCGCTCTGTGACGGGTGACGATGGCGGGACCCATCTGCCAGGAGCTCACACCACAGTCCATTTCCTTGGAAGAATCGCCGTTTCCCATCGGATGAGCCTGATCCTTGACTGAAATATGTCACTGCTTCTCTGCTAAGGAGAGTGCTTGGAATTTTAAGTGAAACCATTTTTATTCTTCAGTCTGGTGAAACCAGAGTGAGCATTTGCGTTGATACGTTTTCTTAGGCTGTAGACAAAGCCTGCTTAATGGCTTTGGTTTTTAATTTCAAAAATATCGCTCTGAGGGAATTGTTCTGGGGAACATACTGGGGATATAACTTCTGAGGGACGCTAACAAGATTTTAATAGCTGGCAAGCTCTCTAATTTTTATTTGGTTTTAATTTTTATGTGACATTTTCATTAGATGTGTCAAGGAAAGAAAAAAATCAGTTTCTATCACAGGAGGCGGGGCTGGAAAACAAAGCAAGCGAGGTGTGCCGTTGTCACCTTGACCCAAGCCTGACCCGCCCCCCACCTCTCCCTCAAAGTCCTTCTCTTTGCCTTTCCTGTGTTTATTCACTCCCCTCCCTTCACTGTTAACCGATTTCTCTTTGGGGTGATTTTATAGCAGGGCACAGCCAAGGAGAGCTCTGGCTTTGCCTTTGGCCGACACCTTGACCATGAATATGGCCTCTCTGTTGTGTGCATGTAAAGTGAGCATTCATTCCACGAATATTTGTTGAACACCTGCCATGTGACAGGCTGGCTTCCAGGAATGCCCTGTGAGCAAGACAGTCCCTACGGAGCTTCCACCCCAATGGGGCCATGCAGCACCCCCTAAAAATATATATACATGGTATATTGGTCAATGATAAGTGCTACAGAGAAAATAAAATTAGGAGGGACGGCGAAGGTGTCTCCTTTAACATAACGGTTTGTGTATCCTTGCCGTCGGCGAGGCACCATTATGCCAGGCACATCATCAGAACGTTCTCTTCGCCAGGGCCCGTTGAGAAAGACTCTGGGGCTCTGAGGCCTGGACTGAAGCCCCTGGCCAGGGAACCCAGGGCCAGATTCTCCCCGACAACCCCACACAGAGGGCGGGAGGCGACAGCCTTCACGGCCCAGGTGAGCTTTCTCCCAAGCTTATCTCTCTAACTTGGCCCATGGAAACAAACAGAAACTTCCTGCTTTCTTTCCCCAGACTTTGCTAAGGAAATACAATTCCATTTCCATCATTTCTTTTCAAAGGAAAGGGAAGCGGGCAGAAGACTTTTTTTGGAGGGCCAGTTTGGTAGAATAGAATGCTTATTGACTTAATCATATATTAAAGAAGACGTGGGTGGAGTTCCACTAAAAAGTACGGTCCTTTCTGAATGTCGTTTCTTACAGGAAGCCAGAATATCCCCTAAACCCTGTGAAACAAGGCACAGTTGGGGGTCGGGGGGCTTCTTTCATTCAGAAAGAGCTTGCCTCGTCCTCTGGATATACTTTGTCGTGTAAGGGAGGGAGAGAAAACACCTAGGTATTTCGTTATCCGATATTTTTCCAAGCGCACACCCCTCGTTGAGCTGACCTTAGCCGTCCCCATTGCTCTCTACTTCGGGAACACATATAGTTGAACGCCGTGAACCCAAAATTAGCTTGAGTCACTGTTGCACGAGTTGGGGTCTTTCAGCTGTAAACGCTTGCTCGGGGATAACGTGAATGACGGCGGACATACATTTTTCATTTTCAAGGCGTGCGGGAGAGCCCCTTTCCAAGCTGTCATTTTGAATGATCCTTTAAAGGAGGCTGGGAGACACTGGCCTCAAAAGTCTTATTTTACTTTATTTGAAGGTTATTTATTTTGAGAGAGACAGAGAGCATGAGCAGGGGAGGGGCAGAGAGACAGAATCCCAAGCAGGCTCTGCACTGCCAGCCCAGAGCCCGATGCGGGGCTCGAACCCATGAACCGTGACATCATGACTTGAGCTGAAGTCAGACGCTTAACCGGCTGAGCCAACCAGGCGCCCCTCAAAAGTCTTTGAGGAAGAATGAGTTCAGCTTGGAAATGTAAGAGACGCACCTGCTTGTCAGGGGAACCTTCTCCCCAGTCACGTGTCTGTGTTGCAGCCCACGAACACGGGTCATCTCCTGGCCCTGGCTCCAGGCTGGGGGTCGCCCCACTCAGAACGTCACAGGTTTTCAGTCAGTGACGTTCAGCTTCTCTCTCTATCTGGTGGCAGCTCCGGTAAGTTCGTTACATAAAGAAAATTCTGGCCCAGATGAGAAGGCATCGGGGGTGCCCGGCTGGCTCGGTTGGTGGAGCCTGTGATTCTTGATCTCAGGGTTGTGAGTTCAAGCCCCATGCCAGGTGTAGAGATTACTTAAGAATAAAACCGTTAAAACTTAGAAAATGTTTAAAAATGAGACGGCGTTTTAGCAATCCCGGGGAAACGGGGGTGTGCGAACCCTCCCGCCTTTGCGCCGAGTGGGCTGGGACAGCGGTGCTGGCGCTAGGCCGTCAGCACAGTGCCCTGGGGCTCGTCGCCAAGAGCGCTCTCCCTCCTCCCTGGGTCCGGTCAGTGCTCCGCGGTGCCCGTGGGCCTCGCCCTCACCTGTTTCTTTGTGTTTTATGCAGTGCCTTCTCCCAGTGCCTTGCTAGGAGACAACCCCCCCGCTTTCGGAAATGCAAAGGAAGTGGTTGCCATCAAGGACTACCACCCAGCCAACTTCACCACCCTCAAGTTCTCCAAGGGCGACCACCTCTACGTGCTGGACGCGTCCGGCGGAGAGTGGTGGTACGCACACAACACCACGGAGATGGGCTACATCCCCTCCTCCTACGTGCAGCCCTTGAACTACCGGAACTCCACCCTGAGCGACAGCGGGGTGATCGACAACCTTCCAGACAGCCCGGACGAGGTGGCCAAGGAGTTAGACCTGCTCGGGGGATGGACGGAGGACAGGGCTCCGGCCAAGACCTACAGTAACAACCCTTTCTGGAGCGGGGCCCAGACAAACCCGTTTCTGAACGGGAGCACGCCGGGGATGCCCAGCTTCGACGAGCCGGCCCCCAAGAGCACCGTGGACTTGCTCCTCTTTGACACAGGCACGTCCTCATTCACCGAGTCCAGCTCCGCGACCACCAACAGCGTCGGCAACATCTTTGACGAGCTGCCGGCTGCAAGCCGCCTCCAGGCAGAGGCGGCGGGCAAGCGGGACAACCCCTTCTTCAGAAGCAAGCGCTCCTACAGCCTGTCGGAACTGTCCGTCCTCCAGGCCAAGTCGGACGCCCCCGACTCCTCGGGCTTCTTCTCGGGCCTGAAGTCCCCGGCCCCGGAGCAGTTCCAGAGCCGGGAGGACTTCCGCGCCGCCTGGCTGAGCCACCGGAAGCTGGCCCGGTCTTGCCACGATCTGGACCTGCTGGGCCAGAGCCCCGGGTGGGGCCAGACCCAGGCGGTGGAGACGAGCATCGCGTGCAAGCTGGACAGGTCGGGGGGCGCCGTGCAGCTGCCCGACACCGGCATCAGCATCCACGTGCCCGAGGGCCACGTGGGCCCCGGGGAGACGCAGCAGATCTCCATGAAGGCCCTGCTGGACCCCCCGCTCGAGCTCAACAGCGACAGGTGCAGCAGCGTCAGCCCCGTGCTGGAGGTGAAGCTGAGCACCTTGGAGGTAAACACCTTTATCATCGTGGAGATGAAAGTGTCCGCCGAGGTGAAAAATGACATTTTCAGCAAAAGCACAGTGGGTCTCCAGTGCCTGAGGAGCGACCTGAAGGAAGGGCCCTATGTCCCCGTCCCGCTCACCTACAGCTACGGGGACACGGTCCAGGTGCAGCTGGACAACCTGGAGCCCTGCATGTACCTGGCCATTGTGGCCCACGGCCCCAACATTCTCTACCCTTCCACGGTGTGGGACTTCATCCACAAGAAGGTCACCGTGGGGCTCTATGGCCCCAAACACATTCACCCGTCCTTCAAGACCGTGGTGACCATTTTCGGGCACGACTGCGCCCCAAAGACGCTGCTGGTCAGCGAGGTCACGCGCCAGGCCCCCAGCCCTGCCCCCGTGGCCCTGCAGCTCTGGGGCAAGCACCAGTTCGTCTTGCCCCGGCCCCAGGATCTCCACGTCTGCGTGTTTTCCAACATGACCAATTACGAGGTCAAGGCCAGCGAGCAGGCCAAGGTGGTGAGGGGCTTCCAGATGAAGCTGGGCAAGGTGAGCCGCCTCATCTTCCCCATCACCTGCCAGGACCCCCGCGAGCTGTCCGACTTCACCCTGCGGGTCCAGGTGAAAGGCGACCAGGAGGCCATCCTGACCCAGTTTTGTGTGCAGACCCCCCAGCCGCCCCCGAAAAGTGCCATCAAGCCCTCGGGGCAGAGACGCTTTCTCAAGAAGAACGAGGTCGGGAAGATCATCTTGTCCCCGTTCGCGGCCACCACCAAATACCCGACGTTCCAGGACCGCCCGGTGTCCAGCCTCAAGTTCGGCAAGCTGCTCAAGACCGTGGTGCGGCAGAGCAAGAACCATTACCTGCTGGAGTACAGGAAGGGCGACGGCGTCGCGCTGCTCAGCGAGGAGAAGATCCGCCTGAAGGGGCAGCTGTGGACCAAGGAGTGGTACATCGGCTACCACCAGGGCAGGGTCGGCCTCGTGCACGCCAAGAACGTGCTGGTGGTGGGCAGGGCCCGGCCGAGCCTCCTGTCGGGGCCCGAGCTGAGCACCTCGGTGCTGCTGGAGCAGATCCTGCGGCCCTGTAAGTTCCTCACCTACATCTACGCCTCCGTCAGGACCTTGCTCATGGAGAACATCAGCAGCTGGCGCTCCTTTGCCGACGCCTTGGGCTACGGGGACCTGCCGCTCACCTTCTTCTGCCGCGCGGAGCTGGACAGCGAGCCCGAGCGGGTGGCGTCCGTGCTGGAGAAACTCAAGGAGGACTGTAACAACGCCGAGAGCAAAGAGCGAAAGTCCTTCCAGAAGGAGCTCATGATGGTAAGCGCCCGGCGGGCGGGGGAGGGGGGGGTGCTTGGGGGCCAGGTCCAGTCTTGCCGCCTTCTCCCCACACGCCCGGGCGCGGGTTCCGTGAATCGCTGGGCCGGCGTCTGGGCTCCTCTTTGCTCCCCGAGAGACCTGCACGGGCACCTGCAGATGGCGCTTCTGTAGCGACCCTCCTCCCCAGGCAGCTCCAGAGCCCCGATCGGGTGGCTTCCCGCTGGGCTTGCGAGCCCCTTGGGGGGCACAGGGAGGCTCGCCCTCCAGCCCCCTCTGCTCCGATCCTGTGGGAGAAGGTCTCACCCCCAACAGGACCTGGGGGTGACTCCGAAGTTTTCAGAACTGCCGCCCCGAAGCCTGACTTAATATTGAGTTTTCTTCTCCTGGAGGCTTGCTCGCTGCTTCCTCTGTCTCGTGTGTGTGTGTGTGTGTGTGTGTGTGAGTGAGAGAGAGTGAGCGTGAGTGAGTCAGTAGGGACTGAGGACGCCTCTGGGAAGTGCGATCTGAGAAGCGGAAGGCGGGGAGGCTGGGCAGGGCGCACCCGGGGCATCGGCGGAGGGGAACGCACTCGCTGGGCCTTGCACGGCCTCCTCGGCCCGGGTCCCGCCCCCCACCCACCGCCCTTTGCGTCCGGTGGCCTGTCTTGGAGTAGCTGACTTGGAGGAACTTGATAACGTTCCCGCCTCGAATCTGTGCGGGACATTCTCTCTAAGGGGGAAGCGTGCCCTCCCCCAACTTCCCAGTAGGACACGTCACTGACCCCTGTGATCTGGCCTCGGCGTTCCGTGCTCCCCCAGGCTCCGCACAGCCTTCTCGCCTCCTGACTGTTGTACGATGTGAGTCTCCGCAGCGCTACCCGGCCCCTCCACAGCAGCTGCCGTGCCCCGTGAGGGCCTCTGGGAATGGCCGAGCCGGGTGTGTGTGTCGAGCAGGCACGAGCTGACACCGGTGCATGCGGCGCTGAGGTCCGTCCGTGGTGCACCCGGCTCTCGGGAGTGGGAGGCACACAGTCGCAGCCTGACAGCGCTCGCGGGAGTACAAACTGCCAGGTGTGTGCAGCAGAGGGAGAACCGAGCATCGTCCAGAAGGGATGGGAACCGGAGGTGTCGATCTTGGCATCCAGGAGGTTGGGGGGCTGGGGATGGCAGCTTGCTGGGGAGGACGTGGGGTCCTTGAGGCAGCGGGGGGACGTCCCGTGGGCCCTGGGCATGGCCACCACAGCACTGGGACACCTTCCCTTCAGGCCGTCTACCCCCCCCCCCCCCCCCCCCCCCCCGCCGCTGGCCCGGCCTGGAATCCTCCCCTGTCCCCCCTCCATGGACCCTTCGGCACCGGGTGGGGGCGCGTGTCCCTCTCGCAGGGCCTTAAGCTGGGATTTGCCATCGGTTCTAGAATCAGGTGCTTTCATGGCACATCGATAGTTTTGATCGTTCGTTCAGTTCGTTCACTGCAGCCTAAAAAACACTCCCCTCGAAAGGGCAGGGGGAAAATGACAGTGAGAGCAGCCCTTCCCAGCTGTGGGAAAATAAAGACCGAGGAGGCGGCTTGTCTATCCCGTTTCTTCATTTCAGGTCTTTTCAGACTTAAGTGATGGGGGAGGGGCTTCTCTGACAGCACAGGTTTGGGGGGCCGTCCCTGGTTCGTCTGTGGGAGCGATGGGGGGCAGGAGCACTGGCCCAGCAAGGGGTTTCCCTCGCGCGGGCCCTGGACTGAGCCCGTCACCTTCTGGAGAGCGGGTGGATCTGCATGTGGGCCAGACCCCCGGACGCCACAGGCCAATTCGGCCCAGCGTGTACGGGGGCCTGGGGGCCGGGATTCACTTCTCCCGGTGCTCACATCACGGAGCCCTGGTTTCCTGCGGCCTCGGCCGCCGTGAGCCGGCCTTCCTCCCGTCCCACCCCGGCCACGCCACGTCCCACCCCGGCCTCCAGTCCCACCCCAGCCCCAGTCCCACCCCGGCCACGCCGCCTCCCACCCCCTTGCTTTCTGAAGATGATCTTCTGTTCAGTTATGAGTCCTTGGTCTGGAAACTGAGTGAACGAATTGGAAAGGGGGGAGGTTTGGGACAGTGGGTTTGGAGGGAGATGGGAAGGAGCCCGGAATGAAATGAGAATGGGGTGGGCCGTCGTGTGGGCCCAGGCCCTGCCTCAGGCTGGAGCTCTGCCCACAGCATCAGGTGGAAGGCGGCCACGTCCCTGGGGTCCTAGCCCAGAGGCCGTGCTGTCAGACCTTTCCCGGGAAGCCACCTGGTACCTGGGTCGCTGCACTGTCCCCCCAGATCCTGGCCGTCCCTGGGCTTTCTCCGATCCACGATGATGTAAACGCCACGAGAGAAGGGCCCCCCGGCCCCCGGGAAACACTCCGCTGTTTGAGGAATGAGTGAGTGGATGAAAGCAGCCCCGGCCCGGGCGGCTAACCTGAAGGGCCCTCAGCCGCCCTTGCCCTGCTGCTTTGGCTCTTCTCCCCTTTCTGTGGCTTCGGCGCGTGTTCCCGATGTCAGAGCTCATCCAAGGGGCGCCTTGCACAGCCACGTGGGCTCCCCGGTGCGCCTGCCTCTGCCTGCCCTTGCTCTCCCACACGGTGCGTGACCGCCAACAGAGACTGGCCCCCGTCCCTGGCTCACCCAGCTGTGCGGTAGAAGCCGGGACTGTCCGTGACAGAAGATGGCCCGCCCGTCGACGGCGCGCCCCAGACCTCCTTGAACGTGGTGGTGAGGGGCGATGTGGGGCCACTGTGGAGAAGGGGTGTGACTGGCACTGACCGCGGAGAGTAGGCAGGATGGACGGAGCTCCCGGGGCCCCAGGCTTCAAGGGCACAGAGTGAAAGCGCCACCACGGACGGCCGGGAGTGAGTGTACTCGATATTCACTAAGCGTGTCTTTGCTGCCTGCTGTGTGCTTAGGGGCGACGCCGGGGGCTGGGCGTCCCAAGAACACGGGTCTTTGACTTGAGGAAGGCCTGGAGTGAACGGTCACATGACTGCGGGACATACTTGTCATGAGCCCCAAAGAGGAGGGCCCCTCGGCAGATCAGGGAAAGGTGAATGGGGTTGAGGGGGGCTCCTGATACAGGAAGGGGGTACAGGAGCCCACTTGATGAGGGAGGGGCCGTCAGGTAGGGGGTGCCGCGTGGGCGAGGACCTGGGGTGGCAAGGTGTGGATGGGATCAGACCTGAGGCTGGGGAGATAGAGGATGGTGGTCTGTGGGGTTCAGAGCCCCCTGCACAGGATAAGGCTTGTGCTTTATTCTGTGGGCGTTGAGGGGGCTAAGTGTTATAGGGGAAGCAAAGGGGAGTCAGGCTGGATCCAGGCACGGCCCTGCCCCTCGTGCATCCGGGCGCACCCCTGCTCCTTGCCCCGTCTCACAGTCTCTCAGCCACTCAGAAGCAGCGGTGAGTGGGGTGCCCCACTCTGAGGGTCCTTCCTTCAGGATGCCTGGTGGGGGGACCTAATTTCCATACTCCTTTCTAGGTAGGTTTGTGTCAAAGAAACAAATAAGTGATTCTGACTCGGATTCCCTGGGCCACTTCCCTCCGTGTGGCTGTCACACCAGGCAGTCGTAGCAGCGGGCCTTGGCGGCTGGTCTGCACGCTCTCCCGCCACCTGGTGCTCGTTCTCTCACTGCGTCACCGGTGAGAGGCTCTGTTTCCTTCATGCACATCGGTGTTGACCCTCAGAGTTTGCACAACTTCCTCGACTCGCCCCAGGTTTTGTCTTTCCCTGAATGCAGATAATCCTCACTGATTTGTGTGTGTCTGTAAACACAGCCTATGTTTCTTGTTTGCACTGGAACTTTGCAGTTGTGAAGCACAGAAGCAGAGGGTCCCTGGCCCCATGGCCCGTCTTTGAGCCACATGGGGCGTAGATGCTGCGCTGTTTATAAATTCCGTGAGATTTGCCGTGCCTTCGTCCCTTCCTCTGCTGTTCCCGGTGGAGAGTGTGCGGGTAGCCTGTGCGCGTGCCACGGGGGCGTGCGGCACGCCGGCTGCTTCCCAGGCCTGCGGGAGGGCCGGGTGCAGGTGCCTCCTTTTCCGGGTGTCTCTGCACACCTGTCCACACTTCCGTGTTCCGGGGGACTCTGCACACCTGTCCACACCTCCGTGTTCCGGGGGGGCTCTGCACACCTGTCCACACCTCCGTGTTCCGGGGGGGGGCTCTGCACACCTGTCCACACCTCCGTGTTCTGGGTGTCTGCACACCTGTCCACACTTCTGTGTTCCGGGGCGCTAAGCCATGGGCCAATCCTGAGGTTGCGCAGCCATCCGTCGCTGACGTGGTGGCAAGTGGCACTGGGGGGGGGGGTGCACAGCTGGGAGCGGCAGGTGCTGTGACCATGGTGACTGACCGCACGGCGCCTCCCCCTCCTCACTTTCATCAGCCTGGGTTCCAGGTCGGGATCCTCTCTCTCCGTGTGGAGGGGAGAAGCCTCAGCCTGTTCTTTGCCGTCAGCGCGTCTGCGTGTCTTGTACCACAAACTGTGACGACACTGAAGGAGAGGGCTCAGCCCAGGCTGAGGCCCTCAGTAGGTCTGGGGGCCGAGTGTGTGCTGGAGGGTGGCACACGGAACCCCGAGGGTTCCCATGCACGCCTCCGATAGGACAGGTTCTGGGAATCCCTGGCAAACAAGACCCAGGGTCTGTCCTCATGGCCGGGAGGGAAGGGCAGCCAGGGACGGGGGCGGGCCTCCCCGGGGGGCCGGGGCCAGCGCTCAGAGCTGGTGCTGGAGCCCCAGGGTGGCCAGGGGTCACTGGTGGCGGCTGCGGCCGGGGTCGTTTGAGTCCGGGTGGGGGCTCTGTGGAGAGGCTTCTCTGAGAAATGGAAACTTACCCCAGGATAAGGGGCAAATCCCGGGGTGCGGGCCGGCAGGGGACGGCGTGCGGTGACGCTCTGCGAATCTGGAGAAGGGCCTCCTTACACCCCCAGGAGGCAGTTAGCGAACGACTGTGCACTGAGGCAGATTCCTGGGGCTCCTGCGCCCCCACAGCAGGAGGCTCGGCTGCCCGCGGCTCCCACGGCGGGGGGTGGGAGATAGCCCTTCTGGTGTTTGCACGTCTTGGGGATAGAAGCGTGCGTGGGACTCACGTACAGCAGAACAAAACTATACTTCATTATCTGTTCGTAAGAGAATCTCCTAAAACAGCACTTGGCAGACTGGCTCGTGGGCCGCCTGCCTTTGTGAGAGAAGTCGCGCCGGACTGAGCCGTGCCCGTCGGCGCCCACACGTTTCTGCTGCTTTCGCTGCACGCCGGTAGACTCGGGGGTTGTGGCACAGAGTGCGTGGCCCGCAGAGCCAGCGCATCGTCCCCATGGGGACCTCTGTCGAGCAGATTTGGTCACCTGGCTAAGATTCGAGTTCACTCTGGGATTGCAGCCGGAATCAGCATCGTTTCGAATGGGATTTTCTGGGATTACCTCTGTGTGTGTGTGTGTGTGTCCCCACGTGCACACACATGCACGAAAACTGAGGAGGAAGCTATAGGGAAAGTGCTGCAGCCAGAGTCTCCTATCGTGAAGCCTTCCACTGCCCAGACTTGGTGGCACCCAAAACGTGCCCTGAAAAAATGCATAAACTGCCTCTCGCTGGTGGTGTGGCAGCTTTGTGACAGTTGACGCCCGTGCCGGCCCGATCAAAGCTGTGTCACTGGAGCTGAAGTTAAGTAAACGAAGGCGCCTCCTTCCCTGCGCTCCCCGCACGATGGAGCCCCGTCCTCGCCCAGCGCCCCGGGGGACAGAGGCATGACTCTGTTACCTGGAAAACGAGGCCACCTCCAGAGCCAGGCAGCTGAGCACACAGACACACGCTTGCTTTGTGTGAGCGGAAGCTGAGGGGGGACACCGAGGGACCGACCGCCCAGCTCTGTGAATAGACCATTTTCTGAAATATATATAAATAGCTGAAATGAAGCGTAATCCAGACCCGCGTTTTATCTGGTCTCATTCCTGATACCGAGTAGCAAGTGTGTGCAGAACCACGGAGGCCATTCGTGGGCCTGAGCGCTGGGAATCCTGGCCCTGCCTCCACCTCTGTCACCCCGAGCGACGGGGCCCTGGACAGGCCACCGGGCGCCTCCGAGTGTCTAGTGTCTGCATCGGGGCAGAGGACAGGCCGGCAGATCTGGCTGGACGCTCACGCAGTGTGGGGGCTTCTCCATCACTCTCTCGGCTTCATCTGCAAAATGGGGTGAGCTCGGCGCCTGCTTTGGGGGCTCTGAGGGGCGAATGAGCCCCTGCCCGGCTCGCGGTAAGTACACAGTATAGTAGCAGCTTATGTGAAACAAAACAAACCAGAAAAGGACCAGGGGATCCTCAGGCTGACCTCTGGCTGACCTCAGTTACAGCCACCTGCCAGCCTGGGGACCCAGAGACCAGACTGGTCCCTCACCCCTGTTTTCATTGGCAGAGCTTGGGGCACCAGGAGGGCTGAGTCAGGTGACCATCCAAATCTTGGTTTTGGTTGAGATCATGATCTCGCGGTTCCTGAGTTCAGCCCTGCGTCACTGCAGAGCCTGCTTATGATTCTCTCTCTCCTTCTCTCTCTGCCCCTCCCCACTCACACGCTCTGTCTCTCTCTCTCTCTTTCAAAATAAAGAAACTTAAGAAAATTGCAGAGCTTGACCTGGGGTGGCCAGCTAATGCACTCAGGAAATTGCCCAAAAAGTCTCCAACCTCCATATTGTTAAGCTCCCCCAACATGAACGTGAAATGTAAACAAGGGTATTCGGTCGGTCTAGATTAGCTGTGCCCTTTATTTGTGTTTATTTGTTTATTTATTTACTATGTATTTTGGAGAGAAAAACAGCATGTGATTGGGGGAGGGGGAGAGAGAGACGGAGGGAGACACAGAATCTGAAGCAGGCTCCAGGCTCCAAGCACAGAGCCCCATGTGGGGCTCGAACTCACAGACCGCGAGATCATGACCTGAGCCGAAGTCAGATGCTCAAACGCCTGAGCCACCCAGGCGCCTCTAGCCGTGCCCTTTAAATTTAGCGACCCGGCAGACGGCAGCTGCCCGCACCCACGGCCACCCGCCATCCTCACAAAATACTGGGCACAGCTCTCCAACAAGCTGCATGTTCGGCCCGGTCGGGAAAGGGCTGCTTCCTTTGTTGTTTTTAACGTGCTCTTCCGCATCTCGAGGTGACCGCAGCAGGTGCACAGACAGGGTGCAGAGGGACAGAATGGGCACCAGGCGACTCTGTAATCCCAGGCTCACCTGAGGAACCGTCTCCGGGCGCACCTGAGGCCCGCTTTCCCCACTAGCGGGGTGTAGTCCGAGACCAACCTGCTGGTTTGCGCCGATGTGACTGTTTCTTTAAGACCCCAGCCCCAGGTCACACAGAATACACTGGCCTGTGGATTCAGCCCATTTCCTAGCTGGGGAAGCAGGTCCCAGGGTGGCCCACCTGCTGGTTCGGGGCCCTGCTCCGTCGCCTTGCCTCCTTCCTGTCCAGGGTGGAGGCCATTCCTTTCCCTCCGGAGTGAGTCCCTCCAGAGCTGGGGGCTCCTGTCCTGAAGACCCACGAGAAAGTTCTTGCAGCTTTGGCAAGGGAGCGGTCGTGTTGATTCCAGAGAGTGTTCCGATGGTGCCTCCCCAGGGTCAGCCTCGGGCCTCTCCGATTGCCTCCTCCTCCACACGAGGCCTTCACTTTGCACCCTGAACCCGAGCGCCCAGATGTCAGCGTGAGCCTGGGGCCCCCGGCCGAGCCCTCTGCCCGCAGCACGTCCAGCAGCCCAACTCTAGGTCCGGTCCCCTAGGCCCCGGGCACGTGGTCGTCTTCCCCCAGCGTCTCCGGGGTGCAGAAATAGGGCCGACAGCCCTCAGCCGCCCTCTCGCCGGCGGTCAGCATCCTGGGGCCCCCCAGACAAAGTGCCGCAAACTGGGTGGCCCAGAACGACGGAAGCTTGTGCTCCCCGGTGTGGAGGCGTGCGCGGGCTGGGTCCTGCTGGCGCTCTGAGGGAGGCTGTGGCTCCCGGTTGCTCCGACAGTAACCCTCGGGTCCCCCTGCCTGTGGCTGCCTCACCCCTGTCTCTGCCTCCGCCCTTACAGCAGGGACGCCTTCTGTCCGTCTCCTCCTCGCAGGGACAGAGGGGCTGCCCGAGCCTGCGGTGACCTGGTTGTCACTCATCACATCTGCCAAGACGCTGCTTCTAAACGCAGTCATTCTGAGTTCCAGGCGGACGTGGATTTGGTGGCACAACACTGGCAAAGCCAGTCCACGCCGCAAGCCATTGCTTTCCTTCCGCCCCGTGCCCTCAGCCACGCCGGAGTCCGGGGGATGCTCTACAGGCCTAGAACGTTCGTGGCCAAGAGCGCACCGCGTCTGCGGGGAGCCCCGCCTGAATCAGAGCCTGCCCTCTGACCTGCCTTGTGCTCTGCCCCTCTGCCCTCAGGCCTTGCTGAAAATGGACTGCCAGGGCCTGGTGGTCAGGCTCATCCAGGACTTTGTGCTCCTGACCACGGCGGTGGAGGTGGCCCAGCGCTGGCGGGAGCTGGCCGAGAAGCTCGCCAAGGTGTCCAAGCAGCAGATGGACGCGTACGAGTCTCCCCACCGGGACCGGAACGGGGTCGTGGACAGCGAGGTGAGCGGGGGCAGGGAGGCAGTCAGGGCACCGCCTCCCCCGCGTGTGTCCACAGGGAGGGAGGAGTTCCCAGGAGGAGGCGTGTGCCCGCCACGTGGCCGGCTCTCGCTGAGGGCGCAGGGGTCCCTCCCCGGGACTGGAGGCTCTGATGGAGGCAGGGCCGCTGGGCCAGGAGGTGGGGGTCAGAAGTGCCCGCCCCTGCCAGGCCTGATCTTAAGTCTCCCTGTCGGGCGGAGATGGGTGAACGGAGCCCTTTGTGGCCACTTGCGGTGGGTCTCCGCCCAGGGCTGTGCTGGGTCAGTACCTGGTGTGTTCCGTAACCTCCGCCACGATTGGCCGGGCTCCTGCTCAGAGGTCCCTTGTACCCTCACTTGTTTTCGGAGCTCGCGTAAGGCTTCCGGAAAGATGGCCCGGGCCTGGGAGACCCAGGAAGGAGGAAGTGCCCGAGAATAAAGGCGTCCTTTATTAACGCACTGAGTTTCTAAAGAAATGGCCCACGTGGAAGGTGCCACAGGGATTGTTAGGGGAGAGGTCCTTCCTGTTGGCTCAGACACCGTTTGCCACGCACCTGCTCGCGCAGGGGACGCGCTGTTCCCTCTGTGTGCCAGCCCCAGGCAGAGTCCGTTCCACCTGATTCTCTGGGCTCCTCACTCTCAAAAGAGAAGCATAAATAATGAGCGAAGGAGCCGTAGGTAATAGGATCAAATAATAGGATCAAATCTCTTGCCATCCCCTAATCTTTCCTTCCCCCTCCCTCTTCTTCTTTTGGGCGACTCCAGGCCATGTGGAAACCCGCCTATGACTTTTTACTAACGTGGAGCCACCAGATCGGGGACAGCTACCGGGACGTCATCCAGGAGCTGCACATAGGCCTGGACAAGATGAAAAACCCCATCACCAAACGCTGGAAACACCTCACGGGGACTCTGATCCTGGTGAACTCCCTGGACATCTTGAGGGCAGCCGCCTTCAGTCCTGTGGACCACGACGACTATGTCATTTGAGCGCGCTCCCTCCCACCCGCTGCTGCTCTGGGGCAACACCCCCTCCCCGCCCCCGTCCGCGGGGGAGGCAAGAGGGGCCGGCTGCTCGGGCACATCCGGGGTCCCTCTCGGCTGGACCCACGCCCACGGACCAAGCACACACAATGTCCCACCGTCCCCCTCCATCGCGGGGGAAGGGGGTGCTGAAGGGAATTTCTACTACAGGTCGTCGCCAATCAAGATAGCTTTCTATTTCTTAGGCATAAATTTAAATTTAAAATCTTTTTTTTTTTTTTTTAAGTATGGGGGGAGGCCTATGAGAAAGGTGGTATCTAATTTTTTTAATGGACCATAAAGTTTTAAAAAAAAACAAAAACACCTTCATAGGGGCGGATGCTGTTGAGGTTTTTATGTTCTATAAAGACCTTTTTAAATTATGTTCCAGATGTATATATGTATTTAAAGGTGGCTCCCAGCCTCACTTTGCATTTCAACCCTCAGCACGGGGATGCGCTTGCTCCGATGTTGGACTCTTTGCTCTGTTCTTGTAAAAAGGGTAAATCGAATAGGAAATGCGGTTTTCCAGGACGTGAGTGCAGCCCTCGCCCATCCGTTCTGGGAATGCCCTAGGTCCTTCCGTTCTCTTCTGTACTTTGCCCCATGTTACAGTAAACGACCAGCGACAGCGCTTGTGACCCTTCTGTGAGCCTCCGTGGGCAGAGGGAAACCCTTGAGATGAGAAGCAGTCGGGAGCTGGCGTTCTCTGTGGCACCAGGCGGCCGGTCATTCAAGAGAACAGTGCCGTGTGCAGTGCGGGGTCCTCGCAGCTCTCAGATGCCACTGTCCTGCAGGCATGGAGGAGAGGTGGCCACGAGGAGCCCCCGTGCACACGCGTGTGCAGAGGTGCCTGCTGCCACTGGCCTCACTCCACTCCGTTCCATGTGAAACTAACCCCTCTCCCTCCCTTCCTGGTTCACCCAAGTCTCCTAAGAAATAACAGCATAAGGGACACCCTTTTTTTTTTTTTTTTTGGTACAATGTAAAGATTATCTGAGCAGGGTGTAGGTTTTCTAAAACTGAAAATGCGTCCCGCCTAAATCCAGGGACTTGGCGGATGGTGCACTGACAACCTTAACAGTTTTACATCAGCGCGGCCGAGGATGGCGAGCAGTGTCGGGGCCGTGGTCGCACGGTGGCTGCGGCAGCTCAGGGGGCAGGAGGGCGCAGGACCGAAGAACCAGAATTACCTGGCAAATCAGGAGACTCGATTCCGGGGAATGTGTCGGCACATGCACCGGGCAGTTGGGGGCTCCCAGGCCTCATTCTCTAAACCTGCTGTTTAGAAACACGTTCTGTTAATTACTAGTGTAATCAGCGTGTGATCCTTATTGGGCTGAAACATTCTTCTATACCTGTTGACTCAGATACCGAAGACCACCTGGCTAGAAAACAAAAACAACACCTAGAAAAACACTACATTTTTTATGCTGCAAGAACCAGGACCCACAATTCCCCGACCATCACATGAAAGAACCTTAAATTCTCCTTCTCCTTTCCACCCTCATTCTTCCCAGGGATCGTCACTCACCTTCTCCCCAAAGAAGAAAGAAAACCAGTTGCACCTTAAACCATGGATATTCTTCCTCAGGGGCTTTACATAGTTTCCTATGCACCATGTCTTGTAGCACAAATTAAATACTACAAAAGTTGCAGTAAATTTTATTTGGATATTTTAACCTACTAAGTGTGCGTGTGTTTTTCTGTACCCAACCAAACTTTAGATTTTTTTTTAATGATTATTCGTTTTTGAGAGAGGGAGAGAGAGAGCAGGGGAGGGGCAGAGAGAGAGGGGGCCTCAGAAGCAGAAGCAGGCTCCAGGCACTGAGCTGTCAGCACAGAGCCCCATGCAAGGCTCGAACCCACGGACCATGAGATCATGACCTGAGCTTCAAAGTCGGATGCTTAACTGACTGAGCCACCCAGGTGCGCCTACCCAACCAAACAATAAAACTGGTGTTTTATCTGTGCATAGAGTAATGGCTCCCTCCCTAAAGAGCCACCCCTGGATGATAGTGTGATGGTTGGCTTAGCAGATGACTTTTATATTTTTACTAAATATTCTCTAGGCCGGTCCAAGAAGCTCAGTTAAAATCTCCAGTTCTTTCTTGATGTGAATTTCAATGCTTGTAACAATAGTAATTTGCATATGAAGTTAGGGTGTTTGCAGGTGTCTTTGAGGACCAAGTATTCAGGAAAAGGATTTGGTTGAAAAACACTCTAAATTCCCAAGAAGACCATCTTATCCATAATAAATACCCGCTTTGGTCCCCACTTGACCACCACAGGGTCATGTCACATGGGGCACATGTCAAATCGCCTGTGGTCCCCGAGCCCCCACCCCTGTGTCAGCTGGTGCGGCAGCCCAGCCCAGCCTTGGTCTGGGACCTTCCCCACCAGGGGTCACCAGATCCCAGCGCCCTGTGCTCTCCCAGCCATTGCGAAGGTCATGACCACACTACGACCTTTGCCTTCTCTCCTGCTCTCTCGCTACTGACTACTCAGCACCCTCCCCTCTGGTCCACCGGCCCACTCTCCCCTCCTGCCCCCTGCCATACGGTCAGCTCTGGGCTCACCCTCAGCCTTGGCTGTGCCTCCCACATGCCGTCCCAGGCTGAGCTCCCTGACCACCCCTACACTCACAACTCCCTGCCTTGGAGCTGTCCCCCCCAAGGTAGAACGCCTCCCCTTTCTTCAAGGAGCCACACTGAGCTTCTTGAGGGCATCCAGTGTCTGAACTCGTCATAGGATCCCCAGAGCCTGGTGCCACAAGTGTATGACGGGAGGGGACGGACCATACCTCTGCAGTAGAAGCGCATCCTGAACGCGGATCGCTTGGCTGCTGGAGGGGATAGAGTGGTGTTCGTGCCGGGTTTATGACCAGCGTGAACATATTGGCCAGCAGTGAGGGCATCAGACTCAGCTTAGTGTTAGGTGTTCAAGGGGGCGACATGGCAGGGGTGGAACTCACGTGTACCCCAAAAGCAATTAGTTTTCCTAATAGTTCAGTTCTGGGCACGAGGGCAACACTGTCAGTTTGGCCCCACGATTTATGCTGTAATAAAATTCAGTATTATGTAAAATAGATTGAAATGGCATCATCTGAAACCTTCAAGTAACCTGAATTTAGGGGGGAATTGTGAGGCCAAATGCCCAGCCTTTGCCTCGCACCTGTGGTCTCTTCCTGGTGACCTTGGTTTCAAAGATGAGGAAGTTGGCTGGGGGCGGGGAGGGCACTGGAGGTGGGCGGCAAACAAGCCCAGCGGGCGCCGTGGCACATGAAAGCTCCGCCACCCCAGCTGTGCCCTCCTGCGCATCAGAAGCAGGGAGAAGCCCCACAGTTCACGGCCGTTGCCTGGGAAGCAGGTGCCCGGTTCCCACTGACGGCTGCGTTCCGGGAAGGGGGCTGGGGGCCGGCAAGTTGTTCTTCTGCCCGTCTCGGACCTCTGCTCCATGTGTGTGTGCAATAGTGAAACTTACTATTTTGTGTCCATTTCCCTAAAACCTTCAGTATTTAACATATTTGCACTTCGCCAAAATTCTCTTTTTTAACAAATGTCAGCTCTATCGAGGTACACTTGAACATAGAAGCAAAAGCCTTCAGGGGCGCTGGGGTGGCTTAGTCGGCTAAGCCTCTAACTCTTGATTTCAGCTCAGATCATGATCTCACAGTTCAAGAGATCAAGCCCTGTGATGGGCTCTGGAGGCTGCTTGGAATTCTCTCTCTGCCCCTTCCCCTTACCTTACCCCACTTCACCCCGTGCTCAAACTAAATAAATAAATAAATAAACATATATATATATATATATATATATTTTTTTTTAGGTCTTCCTCATTTTTTCTTTTTATTTATTTTGAGACAGAGAGAGGGAAAGAGAGAAAGAGTGAGTGTGCACGAGCAGGGGAGGGGCAGCGAGAGAGGGAGAGAGGATTCCAACCAGGCTCTGCACTGACAGCACAGAGCCCGACATGGGGCTCAATCCCACGAACCGTGAGATCATGACCTGAGCCAAAACCAACAGTCGGACGCTTAACCAGCTGAGCCACCCAGGCGTCCCAAGATGAGCCAAAGTAGTATTTTTTTTTTAATTTTTTTTTTCTGAGAGAGAGAGAGTGAGCAGGGGAGGGTCAGAGAGAGGGAGATACGGAATCTGACACAGGCTCCAGGCTCTGAGCTAGACGTCAGCACAGAGCCCGATGTGGGGCTCGAACCCACGAACTGTGAGATCATGACCTGAGCCGAAGTCAGATGCTTAACCGACTGAGCCACCCAGGTGCACCCCAAAGTAGTATTTTTAAAGCTTTTTCTTCTCTGAACCAATATTCTACCTAATGGGGTAGAAGGGAGTCTTGAAGAAATGCACTGGCCGTGTCTGTGACTTTGTAAATATCCAAAGTCATGTTTGCGAATTTTCCATGTGAATTGGTTTGCTTTTCAGAAGAATATCTGTATACTCATGTCCTATGTTTGTAGCACAACTTTCTTTATAATCTTCTCTTTGGGGGTCAGTGGAAGACCATGGAAACAGTGTGAGTGCAGCAAGAGCCGCAGTGCGATGCGGGCCCCTTATAGGACGGGGGGGGGGGGGCCACGGGCTGCCCCCCTGCTATGTGTCGCCCGGAAGCCAGTCTTGGGCACAGAGAGTGTCAAGGGACAGGAGAGCCAGCCCCTAGCCCTCCAGGACTCTGTATTCCAGTAAGGAAGATCCAGACGTTTGAAACTGAAGGGAGATTGACACATCAATCGTCAGAAGAGACCAAGAAAGAATTTGAGAAACTGTGGTGCTTTTCTCCCAACTTATTGGTCATTAGGGCTTCTGATTTAACCCCTTCCATTTCTCTCCGGGGGCTCCTCCCTTAGCCCTGACCACCAACACCTCTCCCCCATACCTGCAACTCCAGGCTTGCCCCTCAAGTCCTCAAATATAGACCCATGCCCCCATCTGCTTACCCCCCATCTTCTGCGGCCCCCTGTGTTTAAAGCAGATGAACGGAGTGTTCTCAAGCACCTGCCCATGGTCATTGCTGACCCTGACGAAGCTTCCACTTGTCCACACAAAACAGAGAAGTAAGGACGATGCACTGAGCACCTCCATTCAACCAAATTTATGTCAACCTAATAATTACTCCTGATCCTGAGGTTAAGCCCTTCTTTCCTTTTTGGTGTTAAAATGTCCTTTATGTTGGTAACTGACAATGACAGTAAACTCTAGGCCTTATGGTTCTGATGCCTTTCTTGGCAAAGTAAAATGTTGACCGATGACAGCCCGTCGTGCGTTTTTTTCAAGACTTGACTCTTTGGGGAAGTAAGGGAGAACTGACATGAAACTCGATTTCTGGGGCTTCTTGTGGCTGTTTCTCCTTAGAGCACCCTCTTCACTGTGGTGATGGCTTTATTACGTTTTCTGGGTGCTTAGAGAACACGTTTGCTGTATTTGGAACCCAGAGCACGCAAACTCACAGCTTCTCTTGCAGCTAAATGCGGGCGTGTGGCTAGCTTCCGCCACGCAGATCTCTGATTCACACACCAGCAATTTGCAGAGGGAGGCGACGGCAGCGCTGGTCACGGGGCGGCCTCCTCGCCCAGTCATGGCGGCGGCGGCAGCAGGTGTCCGCGGTTGGTGTGCCCGACGGAGGGGCACATCCCATCAGGCCAGTTCTGGACACGAACATTGGGTGTGGCTCCTCTCCCAGCCCTCTGGTGAATGACCCACTTAGCTTTTAATAATACTCTTTTCGGAACAATCAGCCAGTTCCAATTTCTGTTGCTTGCAAATAAGCATGTGCAAGTTGTATTCCTTTGAGATTCTGCTCTGGTAATCAGCCTCTCCCGAGAAGTCCTCTTAGATGCACCAAGGAAAACCCTCCCCCTGTTTTCCTAAGCCCTCCGATCTTACCACAAATATAATCCGAAGCTTTTCCTTTGCTGGATGGCCCCTCAGACCATAAACTGAGCAGGGAAGATGCCCAGCTCACACTCAGTAAGTTCAGACTCCCACTCACGGAATCCTCGACGCGTGGCTGGATGAGTGGACAAGTGGCCTGGGGACCCGCGAACCGATTCATCTGGGGGACCAGAAGCTAAGCGCTAGTTCCCGAACAGCTTTGTGTATAGTCATAGGGGCTTCTTTTTATCAAACACATAGAAGTTTTATGGGGAGACTATTCTGGATTTTTTCTAGAAATGTTTATATCTCTACTTATTTTATTTTTTAAATTTTTTTATAGTTTATTGTCAAGTTGGTTTCCATATAACACCCAGTGCTCATCCCCACAAGTGCCCTCCCCCGTGCCCATCTCCCCCTCCCCCTCCCCCCACCCCCCTCAGCCCTCAGTTTGTTCTCAGCATTCATATCTCTACTCATTTTAGTTCACAGTCTTCCCGCCATAATATTACACGTGTTTAGCTCAGCCGGAGGAGCTCACACTTGGAAAAACAAAGGTTTGCTTTACTGTTCACACATCCACATCTTTTTCTCCGTTCCAAATGCAAAGTCATTTCACACCCAAGGTGCGGATGATCACAGCCAGCTGAGAACAGCCGACACGAAGCACTTGGTGAACATCGATAGCCCCCCAGGGAACGGTCTTGTCACAGGCCTACGTGGACACCCAAGCGAGCAGGAAGCAGGGCCGGCAGGCGGGGCGGTTGCCTGGCAGCCCCAGCAATGCCGGGACCACCC